CATAACTTGTCAAGTTATAGTTCATAACCAGATAAGTTATGAACAAACTTGTCAAGTTATGGTTTATAGTCAGACAAGTTATGGACAATTATGGATAATAATTTGTCAAGTTATGATTTATAACCAGACAAGTTATGGACGAAAACAGTAATTTAGCCTATTAATTAACTTATATAAACTATTAGCCTATTAATTTTAATTCATTTCAAGTGTTGGTCTATTTTCCTCTTTCTCCCTTTTAATTATAAATAGGAAGCCCATCATTATCTATAACTGTAAGCAGAATCTATTGGAATTAATTCATGAGAGGTCTCCGAATTATTTTCTCTTTCTAGAATTAGTCTATGTACTTCATATTGTTTCACAAATAGTCCTTGAACTAAGAAAGTGTGTTATAAATGATCCCTTGTTAGAATCCATTAACTATTTGGACGAAAAATATCATGTGCTATGCACATGATGGTTATTTCTCTAATTTTACCTAAACCAAATAAAATTCCCTTCAGCCTCGCGGAAATATTGAACGTGAAAACAACTTTCCCTAAATTGAACCAAGCCCACCTAAAATTCCTTTCATCCCGGTTTCATTCTATCGCGTTGCTCAAAGTTTTAATAGAAATAGTAGAAAATAAGCCAATATGAAAAGTTTAAGAAAGTATATAAGTCAACTTTTAATTATAGAAATTAATAGGTCATAACTTGTCAAGTTATGGTTCATAACCAGATAAGTTATGGATAAACTTGTCAAGTTATGATTCATAGCCAGACAAGTTATGGACAAAAATTGTAAATAACTTATCAAGTTATGGTTCATAACCAGACAAGTTATGGACAAAAACAGTAATTTAACCTATTTATTAACTTATATAAACTATTAACCTATTAATTTTAATTCATCTCAAATCTTAATATATTTTCCTCTATCTCCCGAGTTTTAATTCTATTGCATTGCTCAGACAAAAAATAGGGAAGGGTCTGGACATGGGCGTTGTTGGTAAGTTTGATTTATTTTTGCTGATCAAGTGTGATTCAATTAGAAATTCTAGCTTTTTTATTTATTTATTTGAGGAGTAAAAATCCCAACTTTCTCTATAAGGTTTTGTCGTTTCTTGATGTCAATGGTTAAATTTTTCCAGGGTGTTTGTACATGTGGAACATAATTACATATGATATTCTCAAAGAAGTGCTTCATGATTGTTTTGCTTTTTCTAAGTGATGGCCCACTTTCTGTCTACTGGTTTTAGAACAAAAGACTCACATTCATTGCTCTTCGTTTTCTTTTTAATGAAGGAATGAAACTACATTGCTCTGTTTCTTTTTCTTTTTTTTTTTTTGACGAAATTACATATATATGTCAGGATTATCACATTTCTAGCTGCATTTAAAATTTTTATTTAGTAATATTTTTGTTTGAAATAGAGTTTCCAGCTTTAAAATTGGACGTAAAATTTTTTTGCCCTCAACAGTAGTAAAAAGAAGCTACATACAAGGAAGCAATCCTAGATTGACGAACCAAAGCCAAGAGAGGATGAACTAAGCAGTCGTTTGGTTCACAGATTTAAAATCATGGTTCAGAATTATTCTCAATTTATATGTATTTTTTTTAAAAAAAATACTGTAACGAGTTACGAATTATGATTCGAACCCTAACACGAATTCTCATACTAAACATCTCTATTCTTTTGATATTTTTATTTTGTTTTTGTTTTTGTTATTTTTTTTAAAGGAACAGATTGTAGCTGTCTTTTTTATTTGATATTTTTGGGTATATTACAAACAATATCGTGGTTGGCAACCCATATAAGGTGCTATATTTTTGTTTTGAAATTGATATTTCGTTGAGGGACTTAAATTTCTATATGTTTATAGAGAAAGAAACTTAAGGATTGATTTCAGAAAGAAAAACAAAATAAGGACTAAGTTTAGAGAGAACGATACTCAGGGACCTTCAAATAATACAAAAGAATATAAGGGTATTATTAACCCTATAAAATATCATAATAACCATAAACTTCCATCCAATTTAACGATTTCCATCCAAAAATTTAACAATGGATTATTTATAAGACACTTTCGTAATTTATAGACTATTTAAGAGACAATATTAAGTACATGGATTAATTATAGAGAGAAAAAAGCATTCGGAGACCTCTCATGAAGTTATTCCAAAGCTATTGGAGTTAGCTAGACTTGTGGGGAATCATTGATGATATATATTTCTTTCCCAACAAATAATTATAGAAATCAATTCAACCTGTTTTTTTTAATCTGTTGTACTAACTTCAAGTTATAACTTGTCATTTGGTCACAACTATCAGACATTTTATAAATTTTATGCTTTTAAATATATGAAATACAGTACTGCCTTTTAAATTATATATTATAAATTATAACGAAATGACACCAACTACAACAAGAATCATTAGTGTTATATAGTCTAGTCTAAGGTTCAATGCATAATAACATAAATACAAGATAAAATAAACGCCGTCCAAGTTACAAAGTCAAATTTATAACATAATAAATTAGAGTAAACTAATTCTCTAAGAAACTTCCGCAATAATTTATATATTAAACTAAGAAAAGTCCTTGAGATTTTCCAGTTAGGAAATGTTCCTCTACTACAAATAAAAGGCTACTCATTATAGGATCATAAACTGTAACGCCTCTCTTAAAGCAACTTGAAAACCGCTAAACTCAGGAGAAACTAATTAAAGTAGAACAAATAATACTGCGTAATATAAAAAATAATGTCCATTACTGAAATAATTCTCGAACAAAAATTTTTAAGATTACAAATCTCAAATCTTAAAATCTCTAGACTCGTCATGTGACCTTGAACCATTCTTACTCAGTCAACCAAAACTTTTATTATAGAGCTTATCCGCATCACGAGAACTATATGAGCTTACGCTCAGTAATATAAGTAAACCGTAAATAATTTTCACATAAAAAATAATCTTCTTTAACATTTAGAGCTCTCTTGTATAACATTAGTCTTGTGTTATTAGAACTTCTTTTATGTTGTCCCTATCTTAGAATCTCTTATTCTTCAAGGATTCGGCCATTCTCACATCTCAATTCATAATAAACACAAGATTTCACATTATACTCAGAAAACACTTTTTAAAATCTCATGAAAAGTGGTCAACAATAATAAATAAAAATCTTTTATTGAAAATATACTATTGTTTAAGTGATCCAATAAAGGGTATACTTACCTCAAACTACTTAATATGGTAAATAGAATTCTATCTTTCTATTTTATATTCTCTTATTTTATTCATTTTTTTTTTTTTTCATTTCCTTTGTCTCTCATCCTTTTCCCATTCCGTTCTTTTCTTTCCCTCACCATGCCTCACATAGTCACATATATCATCAGGGCTAGTATTGTTAGGTTAATATGTGGCACTTAAAAGCTTGGTATACTAACGTGAGGTTTCTAACAGCCACCACATGCCTAAAAAAAAAAAAAAATGTTTTTTAAATTTACACCACCACACTTAAAAATATCTAAAAATCTCAAATCAAGTATCCCAAAATCTCCAAATATCATAAATTAAACTAAATATTATATTTTTCTTAACTAGGCTAGTTGCTTAAAAATACCGGGCATTACATAAACTTACCCCTTTAAATAAAATTCACTCCTTTAATCTGACGACTACATAAATTAATGACCACCTTAAATAATAATTCTTTTTTACTCTTTTACGTTTTACACGTACGGTATTGAATTTTCATGTACAGACAATATATATTTCTCTAGGTGCCTCGATATATCATTAATAATGTACATCTTCTTTATTTTAATTTTCAAGCATGATGACGATTTTTAGATAACCTGACCATGGGATGCATATAATTAAAGACGGGAGTACAGAAAGTGATTGTAGAAGAATGCAGCCTCAAAATATTATAGATATTTCACACGAGAATAGAAAAGTATTATAACTTTCAACAGGGTACAGTTGCCAACTTCCTGGAATCTAATCACAACAATTAAGGCTAAGCAATACGCGCAAAAACTGCTCTATTCATGTTGGCCTAATATATATATATATATATATATATAGAGAGAGAGAGAGAGAGAGAGAGAGAGAGAGAGAGAGAGAAACACGGTTTAGCCACATTTCCCTCCTTGCTTAAGCAATTTGCTTAATCACGTGCTAATCAGGCCCCACCATCCTTTGTTTTTACTCACATAATTAAAAGTATTATACTAACTTAAAATTGCCCTTTGATTACTTAATCAAATATCTATAAATACATATACATAAGTACACACCAATAACATCTAAAAAAACAACTAATACATTTCTTCAAACCCTCTTCCAGTTATGATATATTCAACAACTTCCGTTAACACTTTCTCCTTTCACCTCTCAAAAACAGGTTTGTTACCGTTAGATTGGCGATCAAGGAGATCATCATCAAGAGTGGTCGCAACCAGAATTCTTGCATCAAGAAGAGATCATCAAGCCAATCATCATCATAATCATCATCATAATCACTACATGAGCAGCAGCAGATTGGTGGATGAGAACATGATTGTTCTGAGGAAGAGGATTCATGAGATGAAGATGGTTGAGAGGAATTATGAGCCTCCTTCTGATTGGATGGATTGGGAGAAGAAGTATTACACTTCTTATGATTCTCTCATATGTCAAATGATGGGGTTTTTGCAGTCTCAGATGATGAACACAAGGCCAAGCTTGGCTTTGGGAATGGTGGTTTTGGTCATCTTGAGTTTGCCAACTTCTTCCGTTATGGTCTTGTTCCATTTGATGGGTCTAGCTAAGGAACTCTTAATTAATTAATTAGTGGTTAAATGATTTTCATTTTGTTCTTAATTTTTGTTTGGTCATGTGTGTAAATACGAAGATCGGTGTAGAGGTGTAATTTTTTTCATTTATGTTCAGTAATGAAACTATATATGGTTTCTTACGATTTTACTTCTTGCATTCTTTTTCATTATAGATGAATTTATAATTAAGTACTTGCTGCAGTAAATGACTACGAGTTTCTAATTATTATTTGTCTCTCTTTAATTTGTTTTTCTGATACATGATAAACCGTATTAAAGTCTTGAAAGAATAACCGACCCGTTATTTTTAGCCTTTGAGACCCTGAAAATTTTAAAGGTAAAATTGATTGGTTGGGAATTGGGATATTTTTGGACAGATGTAAATGTATGTATGTATTTATGTATATATAAATATATATATATATATATATATATGAGGTAATATGTTAGAATGATTATCTAATAAAGTGATGTATGTATGTATTTATGTATATATAAATATATATATATATATATATATGAGGTAATATGTTAGAATGATTATCTAATAAAGTAAAATTAACAAAATAACCTTCTTCTATTTTTTTATACGAAGAAATGTACTTATTCATTCTTCGTAAAAAGAGGTCATTTTGCAACTATAAATATATGGATGGATGGATAGATATACATCCACACTAACAATATCAGGTTAAGCAGTTTTCATTTGTTTTTCAACTTTGGACATGTACTAACTTATTGTAAATGACTCTCCATCAAATAATTTTATTTGCTATGGAAAATTAGCAACTCATGTAATGGGGATAAAATTATAAACGTAGAAGAAAAAGGCTTTCTAGTAAATATCTCGAACTATATATCATTTCTAAGTGGTAGAAGAAAAAGGCTTTCTAGTAAATATACAAATTTTAGTCCGATAGAACCCTTACAGAATGTGAAGACCCTTTTGATGTTTCATGATAAATATTGTATTTGTGTCTCTCTATGTGTGAGCGTGAGAGTTTTTTTCTTTCTTTCTTTCTTTCTTTTTTATAATCTGTGTGTTTTTACGAACTCACAAACAATTTATTGTCATCAATTTAATCTTTAATTAACTTAGTATCAATAAGAACATTCAATATTCTGTGCTTGTAGGTTTTACCTCTATTATGAACGATATAATTTTCCATAGCCGCCATTAGGCCAAAAAAGAATGGAAGTAATTTGTCGTAGATTTGAAGCTGCTAAGCTGCGGAAAAAGGGCCTCATCATCAGGTTCTCCACATAAATATGGTACAGACAACAGCTTTTTGCTTCGCAGAAATTTGATCACCTGTGTGCTATAGATAGCTGCATATCTACATAACAAAAGTACAGTACTTGATGTTAGAAATTCATTTCAGGTTTCAGATCATCTCCTGAGTTCCAGATCAAAGAAATTATTTGGCTTTTACATATGAAAAGTTGCTTCTAGCTGCCTATATATCCATAGCTCATCATTTAAAGAATATTCGTGTGCGTGTGTGTGGGTGTGAATTTGCAAGTTCTTCTAGAACAGTAACATTCATCTTTAAAGAAAGCAAGAATGTGGAACGAGAGGGAGCTCCCTTCAGTCCAAGACATGACAATCGTAATTGAACTCGGCTAGCTCCTGCATCATTGGATCAGAAACACATCAATTCTTAGCTCGCAATGTTTGGTGAGCTCTTGAACCAACGAGTCAGCAGCTGAGTTTCAATTTCAGTGTCTTGGACTGGACTGAAGAAAGCTCCTTCTTCCGTAATCTTTTCCTGCAGAATCATTCACACCATAAAATAAAGATTCCTTTCAAGTTACAAATATAAGAGAATCAAAATGAGCAAAGACCATTAATAATGGCCTCAGTTGCAAAAGGGTTTTGTAGGGCTTTGTTTATACAATCCTTGGTTGATGCACTATCTTTGTACTCTTGGTTCTATGGGCTCGGTTTCTTAATTATATAGGAGTTGAAGACACACACACATTTACCCTTTTCAGAAAACAAAATGCTAGAAAACAACTATAAACTAAAAGGATGAAGATTAGAATTGAATCACAAAAGATTATTAGCTACATGTATCTATAAATGTGAGTATTACATATATATTCATGTATTTATGTATATAATATATGTATGGAAGAGATAAAAAGAGGTCAAGTGAGGAGTCTATATATAGATGACGAAGAGGTGAGAGTAAACTCCGATATGGAAATCTTAAAAAATGGTGTGACTTGCAGATTTAGGGTCAGTGATGAAATCATGCATGGTTTGAAAATATTTGGGGCCTTTGCACCTCAAACATTGCTAGCTAGACAAGTCTGCCAAGTTTGTACCCTGCTCTACATACATCTTTTCATACAGCTGGATGGCTCAATATAATTGTCTGATATATATATATATATATATATAAAGTTGTTTATATATGTGTGTGTGTGTGTCTGTGGGTGTGTGCGTAGGGCAAGCTTATCTGCCCCCTTAAAATTTCTCAACCAGTAGTACTACTTCTGCCTCAAGGCTGCATCTGCTTTATTTGATCTTTTTTTTTTATTTGATTTAGTAATGTAACCAGAGCATTACCCTTTAGGCCCCAAGTTTGAGAACAAACTATATCATAATCGTTTTTATGGGGTTTCTAATTCTTATTAATGTATTGCTTAAGGCATGTTATAAGGCCAATTTCTAATTGATGGAGAGATTTTCTTCCACCCATATTGGTTAAGCATATACTTTATGTAATAACTATATCAGAAGTAGTACTTAAAGTTTTCCCTACTAATCTTTCTAATTTTGCCAATTAGTGGTTGAGAAAGTATAATATTGTATATATACATATATAAAGAACATGAATATTGTTTGATCGATCGTTTCCTTGATAAAAGTCTATATATAATTCGTTTAGTATACATAATATATCTAATCTACCTCTTAATTGGTTTTGAAGATACGGTCTTATTTTCCTAACTTGTTTGCTTCCTCGTCAGTGTACACCAATTTCAAATCTTCCGGTCTTTATTATTAATCACTAATTATACTTTGAGAAACTTCAAAGTTTTTTTTATTTTTTTTTATTTTTTACGTAATCACTTTTTCGGTAAGCGAGTGCAATTACTGAGACGTATATTATCTAAGAAAATAAGCTTTCAAAATCTTTGGAGTGCATTTATCATAAGCTTGATGTACTGGATTTTTACAGGAATGCTAGTTGGGGAATGAGGTAATTGCGTTCGTGTATATGCCGTCAATCGGATAATTATATTTTTATTAGCCTTGCAGCTGTTTAATTAGTTGTTAATCTGATATTCCCTCCCTTCTTGTTTTGGTGGCTTTTGTTTACCTAGCTATGTGTGTATTATATAGAGTTATGAACTTATGGTGTACAGTTAATTCATTTGTGAGGTACTTTATGTACTCTCATGTTAAAAGAATTATAAAGAGATGTACCTCACAAAAAAGTACATGCTTAATTAGCATAATATTGGAAAATTGTTGTGCTTATTTGATTTGAGGGATCAAATAACCTTAGTTTTGATTCAAACAATGTTTTCTCATATAATAAATTTACATTTAAAAGGTTTAACTATAGTATTTTCTCATATAAAATTTTAATTTTAGTTCAAATAAAATTGTTCCAACCCTCAAATTAAACAAGCACTAAATTTCGTTTAATTCACTCTGAAAAAGAGAGGAATTTGTCCTGATCATGATTATTACTCTCCTTTTAAGTAATCATGTGTTTATAATAATGGACACAAACAATTATATATTCTGCAATGAAAAATGTTGTATAACTCGATTGAGATATATATTTAAGCTTAGTTCATTTCACCGATTTGAATTTAAAATTTAAGTTTTGTTACAGTAAAAAATTAAAAAAATAGTCACATTTAACTTTTTTACTACAATAAAATTTTTTTACATAAATTACATCTCAATTTAAATTAAAAACTTAAATCAGCAAATTAAATGAGTATCGTTCTCTCATAAAAAGTGGACTCCACTTTTTATAAAAGAGTGAGGATTTAACCCTATAGAATAATTATTCTTATGCATTTTGTAGTACTGGGACACTGGGTGATCATTCAATAAGCAGACGTTTGATAAGGGAATTCATACCATGATTTGAATCATAGTTTATAATTTGTTATAGTGTTTTTTTCATAAAAAATACACGTAAATAAAAAATAATTCTAATCTCATTATTCTAATCTATGAACTAAAGGTCCGTTCACTTCGCCGATTCAAGTTTTTTTACAGTAAAAAGCTCTCATAAATAATCACATCTAACTTTTTTGTTATAATAAAAAGCTCTCACATAAAATTATATCTCAACTTAAATTCTAAACTCGAATCAACGAATAAACGGCTCAACGTTTCATAAATATTTTTGTGTGTACGTATAGTATAGTTCCGTAATTATTAATGTTGCTTTACAGATTGAGATATTTTATGAAACACTCCATGTGGTTATGATATATTCCATACGAGCTCCGGCTACCAGATGACAAGACAATCACTTTTCTTGCTTTGGCTTGGCATGGCATGGCATGTCAATTACTCCATTTGTGGCGTATATATGATATTGCTTTATATGCACAGCTTTTTCAACGTACGTTGGTAAATTCAACCTTCCCAAAAATCTGTTTAAAAGCGTGTAAATACTTACTCCAACTATTCAACGAAAAAGATAACTTGATGTGTGTATTCCTTCATAGCTTTTTATTTATTTATGAAAATTAAGAAAAGTACTATATATTAACTCCATTTATTTTATCAATTTAAGTTTAAAATTTGAGTTTTGTTACAATAAAAAATTTTTAAAAATAATCACATCTAACTTTTTTAATACAGTAAAAAATTCTCGCATAAAATCACATCTCAAATCAAATTAAAAACTCGAATCAACAAACTAAACGGGCCCATTATTATTGGTAATACAAATTACAATAGATTTGATAGTATATCAAAATAGTGTGAGACATATCAAATATCTATTTTTTTATCGTATGAGTGGTTTTTCATTTATAATTACCATACATGTATAAATGATACATCTCTATTGAAGCATTCTCGAGATATTGGAATTACCATGTTTGCCTACTAATTTTAACCAAGTTAATTGTTTCTTTTCAAACTAGTCACAATC